CCAAATTTAAATCTGAAACCACTGTAAAAGTCTGACTCACAGACGGACACAATACAGAAGCCTGATGATGGCAGATGAGATTCTGCCGAAACATTGCTACAACTTTAAAAGCACAACTACAATGACGTGGGAAAATACCCGAACAAAGCTGAATGCCATACATGTAAGTACCCGCGAAAACTTAAGAATATATATATATATATATATATTCTATCTATCTATCTATCTATCTATCTATCTATCTATCTATCTATCTATCTTTGGTTATTCGGGTTTTCTCCCGCATAAAATTGGAAGTATCTAGGCGATGTTTCGATGAAGTCTCATTCATCATCTTCAGGCTTGTGTCTTCAGCTCTGTGCTGTGTTCTGATTGGCTGGGGGTGTGTTCTGTTCAGGTGGGGGCTTGGTTGTGCTCAGGTTAGTCTTAGTTGCTAGGGGATTTGAGCTGGTGAACTGTGATCCTGCTGTTTGGCTTCGCGTTCGTGGTAGTGCCGCATCTTCATGGTGGGCGTCAGTTCGCTTCATGTATGGGTCGGAGGGGTTTGAAGCGAGTAGTGATGCAGCTGCGGTGCGGCTTCTGGTCTGTGGTCATGTCTCATCTTCTGTGTGGGTGTGAGTCTGCTTTCTATGTGGAAGTGTAGTGGTAGCATCTTGCGTGGCCCTCGTGGGTGTGGGTCTGGTGTAATTCTTCATGTTAGGTACTTGTCTGTTCATGAGGGCAGGTTTCCAAATGGCTGGCAGGCGGGAGGTGTCATCTCGTTTATTCATGCTGTGCGGGCGTTTTTCTATCTCTATGGCTTCTCTGATTATTCTGTTGTTGAAGTGTTCGGTTTTGGCGATAGTTCTGGTATTTTTAAAGTCAATCTCATGTCCTGTGACTTTGAGGTGTTGGACCAGGGAAGAGGTCGGTTCTTCTTTTTTGATTGAAGCACAACCACGATCACGAAACCAAACAGCAGAACACACCCCCAGCCAATCAGAACACAGCCAACCCTCCAACCAATCAGAACACAGCCAAACCCCCAACCAATGAGAACACCCCCCCACCCAATCAGAACACAGCCAAGCCCCCACCCAATCAAGTCACATCCCCACTAGCAGTTAAAAGGAAGAAGCAGCTGCAAGCTCACATTACTCTGAGAAGCACAGAGCCGAAGACACAAGCCTGAAGATGATGAATGAGACTTCATCGAAACGTCGCCTAGATACTTCCAATTTTACATGGGAGAAAACCCGAATAACCAAAGATCCACATACAAATACCCGCGAGAACCTCAGTATATATACCCCCACCATGAAGAAGCGGCACGACCACGAACTCGAAGCCAAACAGAAAGATCACAGCTCACCAGCTCAAATCCCCCAGCAACTAAGACTAACCTGAGCACAACCAAGCCCCCACCTGAACAGAACACGCCTCCAGCCAATCAGAACACAGCCAAGCCCCCACCCAATCAAATCACACCCCCACTAGCAGTTAAAAGGAAGAAGCAGCTGCAAGCTCACATCACTCTGAGAAGCACAGAGCTGAAGACACAAGCCTGAAGATGTTGAATGAGACTTCATCGAAACGTTGCCTAGATACTTCCAATCTTACGCGGGGAAAAACCCGAATAACCAAAGATAGATAGATAGATAGATAGATAGATAGATAGATAGATAGATAGATAGATTCACACAATAATGTTAAATATTTATGATCTTGCGTGGCCGCATTATTAGTTGTCCAGGGCTGCATGTGGCCCATGGCCTGCAGGTTGGGCATGCCTGCTATAGATCCTAAAGTGTGTAGGAAGTGGGACTACATATTTCCCAAGGTCTATTCTTATAACTAAGAACAAAAAATGTTTCATGCAAAGTGATTGAACTATAAGATGGAAAGTGCCTGTGAATATGGATCTAATGAATGTGAAGGGCAAATGTAGCACTTTGGGAGAGAAGACAAAGCTATGGGGGAACTCCCTGGATTTGGTTCACAACCCAGATATTCATCACTGTGTTAAGATATGACATATTCTTTTATGTTCTTTTCTCATGAGCTGGTTTTTATTCATATTATAAATTGTTTACATTTAAGTGGCTTCAGGGGCAAGTCAAACATGTACAGCTTTTCAGTTCCAAAGGCCACACATGGCCTTTCAATGGTGTGCTACGGTCACATGCCAAAAGTGATGAGGCCAAGACAGGAATTGAAATTGAAATTAAATTAAATTCAGTTATAAATATATGACAGTTCCTTCTCTCTATCACATTAAAATTGTAATTTGGTAGCAACCCTTTGAGACACCTTAGAACCATATTCAGAAAAAATCTCAGAGCCTCTGGTTGTTGTGGTTTGCTGGCAGCAGGTGAGGACGGATGAGGTCTCAGAGAGTGAGGGCTCAGATGAGGGGCCTGCGTGTGATGCAGGGATGGGACCAGGACCATCAGGGAGTAGAGAGCTTGTGGAATCTGGCAGCACTGATGCAGAGGATGCCGAGAAGCCTGTGCCCACTGCGTGTGCACACAGGGCTGCTCGAAGGAAAGAGCAGCTGCAGCAGCACGGGCGACTCAAGAGTAAGGCTGCAAGGTAATGGCCCCTCCCTTAAGAGATAAAAGCCAGCCTGAGAGACCGGTATTCTCTGCAGGAAGCAAAGAAGTTCTTGCACTTCAAGCCTTGTGGAAGTTTGGTTTGTGTTTGAAGACTTTTTGTTTGGAATATTTTTTGGCAACTTAATCTAGTGCTTTTGGCAGCCTTGCACCACCATCACAAGGCTCGTTCTTATCAGAGACAATTAGTTTTAATAGCCTTTTAACCATGAATTAACAGAATTTGCAGAGGGGCATTAAAAGGCTTTGCTTTTATCTCTGTTTGGTGTTTGTTTACTTGGAACAAGGTTTGAGTCAGAACAGTGGTTTTGTACTTTGGGCAAGGTAACACTTAGCATCATTCATGAATATATTTAGCTAAACACATGCACAGTTTTAAAAGTAACAACTGGCTAAGAAAATCAACATGAACAATTTCTCTTGAAGCTAAACTGAAATTCCAGGATGAAGTCTTTTTTTCTCTCCAAATCTGCTCTGCTGAATAAACAATGAAGTGTGTATGTTTGAATGTGTAGCAAACAGTAGAACAATGCAATGTAAATAATTTAAACATTAAAAAAAACTGGGGAGGAATAACATGCCTGAGAATTTATATCACAAACCCATGTATCATAAAACAAGCAAATGCATTTGATCAATTTATTCAAAAAGAACAATAATGTTGATAAAGAGAAAGTATCAGCATTCTGTTGCTGTAAATCGGATAGCAGGAAAAAAAATGATGTATGATCCCCCTACAATTCTCTTTCTGCCAGAGAGACTGGCAGAGTCAGGGTGAGGAGTTAAATGAGACATCAGTTTAATCCTTACATAGCCACAGAAAGAATGAAGTCCAACCTACCTTGAAATCTGTTGGCCTTATCTAGTTCTCTCCAGGTGCAGAAGGTTAGTCTAGAAGATTCCTGCACATAGGCTTTAACAATAAATCAATAATTCAGAAACTTCACATATGGACCTTGATTTTTATATCTGACATATCCTGAGACAGCAACTATATGAGCCATGGTGGCGCAGTGGTTAGAATGCAGTACTGCAAGCTATTTCAGTTGACTGCTGGCTGCCTGCAATTTGGCAGTTCAAATCTCACCAGGCTCAAGATTAACTCAGCCTTCCATCTTTCCGAAGTGGGTAAAATGAGGAACCAAATTGTTTGGGTCAATATGCTGAATCTGTAAACTGCTTAGAGAGAGCTGTAAAAGCGCTGAGAAACGGTATATAAGTCTAAGTGCTTTTGCTATATAACATACAGTATATGTTATACAGATATACAGTACAACCCTTTTAAAAATGTGATATCTGCCAACTTAAAGGTTCCCTCTCTTCTCTTTCTGCCTAGGATTCTGCGAAAGGAGCCTGTCTTCAATGATGACCTCCCAAGCCGTATTATCTGTGGCACTGTTGTTGTGAAACCCAATGTGAAGCAATTTACAGAAACCTCTGCAATATTTCAAGATGGGACTGTGCTGGAAGGCCTTGATTATGTCATCTTTGCTACAGGCTACACCTTTGCCTATCCTTTCATGGATGATGAATCCATTATAAAGAGTAGAAATAATGAAGTCACCCTATACAAAAGTATCCTCCCCCCATTTCTGGAGAAACCAACCATGGCAGTCATTGGCTTAGTCCAATCTCTTGGATCAGCTATCCCAACTGCTGAGCTTCAGGCTCGCTGGGCTACAAGAGTATTTAAGGGTTAGTGATAAAGCTGTACATCAGGATGTTCCCTATTTCACATCTTACTTAATATTTTCATGTCTTCAAATTAATAAAATTACTAGTCCCAATGTTGCATGAATCACACAGAGCTGGCTTATATTCAAGTAAAACTTAACATCTTATATGAATGATCCAGGACCAGTATCTAAATTTCTGCTTTGGTAATTGCAGTTACCTTGTCAGATCAGGGTCAAAATATTCTGAATGTTTAATATTTTCTGCAGGTACCATTGTTTTTTAAAACTTCTTTTTGATAATTCTTCACCTATATCTCAAGGTTCTCTAAAGTTGTATATTCTGAAGTCACTTCACTTAAAATAATGTAGAATGTATGAATAAAAAGATGGGTAGAAGGATATGCTTTTATCATAGCCAATTCTTCCTTCTTCTACAGGATTGTGTAAGCTGCCTTCAAAGACCACCATGATGGATGATGTAGATGAGAAAATGGGGAAGAAGCTCAAATGGTATGCAGATATGGCCTTTTAAATTTCTACCCATGTAAGACATTTTCATACCATCACTTCAAGTCCTAAAAGTCCTTTTAACTTCTGGGACAATTTATTAAAATACTAAAAGTACTTTGAAGACAATCCACTACTATCTTTGTCTTCATTCTATTTTATTTTATTCAAAAGAAAGTTGCAATACAAAATGCCAAAAAAAAGATAAAAAACAAAAGACTCAAAACAATCAAGACATTTTAAAAAGTGCATCAAACAGAAAAAAATACATATACACATTATCCCCTCTAATTGAATACTGATTAATATATTACTACATTATAAGTTCCCACTCCTTGCGAATCCCCCCATTTTTAAACTATGAAATCTATTTCCAAATTATTGACCTGTCTTCTATATACTATATTAATGACAAAATAGTTAACAGGAAAAGGAATAATAATAAAAAAGACAAGATTAAAGTTTCAAAACTCTGTTAACAAACATTTATTGTAAACCACTTGTAGAAAGTTTGCCACGGCATCTTATCTATCCCAAATCATCCTGAAAGTTAAAAGTCATTTGTCTTGGATCAAATATCCACATTTGTTTCTTAATGCCAACTCTTATCAACTAAAGATCCAAACAAGTGACCATTGCTTGTCTGTAATCTGATATATTGGTACTTTGTGTTAATTGATCATGGAACAAAGAACACTAAAACAGAAGGAAACAAGAAGATATTGTCTGGATATTTCAATCCAAGGTTAAAAGAAAAAAATAAAAGAGATAAACTTTAAATATTTTGGGAATTCAAAAAGTATAAAAATCCTGCAGTGAGAGTCCAGTATTAATGTAAATCAAATTAAAGCACTTCACCATCCAGACACTCATCATGCTTCCTTACAAAGAGAACAGAAGTTATTCAAAACAACAGAGCTCCCATTCAAATCCAGGGAGCAGCACTGCCAGAGAACCAGCTTTGGCAGCAAAAATAGCAGATCATGAGTAAGAGCGAAAAAGCCAACATTCAGCAGCCACCTTGGGGAGCAGTCTAGGACTGTCTTATGTCTTGATACTCTTAATTTATTTATTTATTTATTTATTTATTTATTTATTTATTTATTTATTTATTTGATTTGCCAATTGTTTACAAGATAATAAGTATAAGTGTATACATAGTTGTGAATACATGAAATGGGTACATATAAGAAAAATAAAAGAGGAATAAGAGAAACAATAGGACAGGGGCGGTAGGCACGTTGGTGCGCTTATGCACGCCCCCTACAGACCTCTTAGGAAAGGGGTGAGGTCAATAGTAGACAGTCTAAGGTTAAAGTTTTTGGGGTTTGGGGAAGAAACTACAGAGTCGGGTAGAGTATTCCAGACATTGACCACTCTATTGCTGAAGTCGTATTTCCTGCAATCAAGGTTGGTGCGGTTAACTTTGAGTTTGTATCTATTGTGTGCTCTTGTGTTGTTATGGTTGAAGCTGAAGTATTCATTGACAGGTAGGACATTGCAATGTATGATTTTATATACCATGCTTAAATCAGACCGAAGACGGCGTAATTCAAGGTTTTCTAGTTCTAGAATTTCAAGTCTGGTGGCATAAGGTATTCTACAACGAGTAGAGGAGTGGAGAACTCTTCTTGTGAAATATTTCTGGACTTTCTCAATTGTGCTAATATCAGATACGTAATGTGGGTTCCAGACTGATGAACTGTATTCGAGTATTGGTCTAGCAAATGTTTTGTATGCTCTGGTTAGTAGTGTGATATTACCAGAGAAAAAGCTACGTAGGATTAGGTTAACAACTCTTAATGCCTTTTTGGCTATGTAGTTGCAGTGGGCTCTAGCACTTAGATCATTAGAGGTGAGTATTCCAAGGTCCTTTACAGAGCTTGGGTCATCAACAAGATCTTGACTATTCAGCTTGTATTTTATTTTCTGATTTTTTTTGCCAATATGTAAGACAGAGCATTTATTTGTTGAGATTTGAAGTTGCCATTTGTTTGACCATTCAAATACATAGTCAAGATCTTTTTGAAGGGTAGCAGTATTGTCTGTGGT